TTGTGTAAACCTTTTCCAATTTGATTTTATTTCTATAGGCAATACTGAAAACCATTTTTGGGCTGCGCCGTCTAAAGTTGTTTGTATCAACGCTGTGCGTCGATGTATCCAGTTTTGATGTAGTGGCGTATTAATTGGTTCAGGTCCTATATTTAAAATCAAATTTGCTGTTACTGCATTTAAATAGTCTTCTACAGAATATTCAGGGTCTGTTCCTGTGAATACCATTAAAGGTTTATTTGATGTTATTGATGATCCACCCATAAGGTATGGATTCATTGTCATTTGTAATGATTCTGCTGCATTTGGTATTTGAGAAAAATTTGAAAGTTGATTTCTTGTTATTTCGTGTTGTTGAAGATAATATGGGAGTGGTAATTCATTTTGCATTTGTGTTGGTTGATACGAGTGTGTGATCATTGGGTTTTGTTGCTGAATTGGTTGAAAATATTGTGTATTAATTGGGTTTTGTTGTTGAATTGGTTGTTGATTTTGTGTATCTATCGGTTGTGGAGAAAAAATTCTATGATTTGTATGTGGTTTCTGGACTCCTTGTCCACGATATTCTTGATTATAGGGTGCAAATATATCTGGTTGTAAAAAATCATCATCTGAGGATAAGTAATCCATTTGATAAGATGTTTGTTTTTTATTTTTATTTTGTTGAAAAAATGGATAGTTTTCACTACGATCCTGTGAAGGATGTAAATTTGTTTGAAAATTTACTGAATTAGTTTGTGCTATTGGGTTATCCCAGTTTCGAGATCTTGTATAATTACTAAAATTTTTTCGTGGTTGATAATTTGTTTTTGATGGATGTGTGTAATTATAATTATGTTCTGCAAAATTATTTCTAGTGAACGTTTTACGTGTTTTTGACGGTATTGTCATGGGTCTGTATGTTTGATAATCCGTGTGTGAATATTTTGGGGCAACCGAAGGTTTAACGGTTGATTGTAAGGTTACTTGTGTTTGTGAAGGGTTTGTATTTCTTGGTGTTGTTAAATTTGGACGTATTGGTGAAATACTTTGTTGTGTAGTTGTTGTGTGTACGATTTCTTCATTTATGAAGTGTGATGGTGTCTGGATATCTTGTTGAGTGAGATTTCTAGTTCCATTGAGGTTTTCATTGTGTATGACTGTGGAGTTTAAACTATTATTTTGCATATCAGGTAAAAATGTATTATAGTTTAATGGTGTTGCATCAATGGTTAATGGTATTACTCTTACATAATCTCTTACATAAGATATGGTAATTATTGCTTGACTTGAGATTGATTGTGGGAAGTTTATGAATGCGGGATGAGACCATTCGGGGTCCCAAACATAGTCTAATTGTTCTGTGATGGCAGTATCATCGTTTGAGTTTTGGGGTCTAAAATTTTTTCTTGCTTGTGAAATTAAATCAATATTATGTGTGAAATAATCTATTATGAACCATGCCAAAATTTTTTGTAAGTCGTGTTTTGTATGTTGTGAAACTTCATCTTTCGTGAAATTTTCTTTAATTATATTTAGAAAACTAGAGAGTAGTGTGATTTCATGTCGTACTTTTATATGTTTAGATGTTTCTGTCGGTGAGACATTGGGTATCTGGATTTCGTTTTCTAATATCGAGATATAACTATATATTATCGCAAAAACTTCATTGGTGAATATGGAGTTTGCTCTTTGTGAGTTATGATATTGGATGCTTTTTATATATTCTGAGAATACTTTTGAGAATTCTAAATCAAGGTCGTCTGTTTGAATTACATATTTGCTGTGATTCTGGTTTGGTGAGTTGAATTCTATGGAGTAGATTCCGTATTGTTGTGTTAAGTTACATATATCTTTCAAATAAAGATCGATAATTTGTCTTTTGATTTTTACATCTGGGAACTCTGTTTTACATGGACTGATTCCGGGTTCAAACAAATTTAAGAGTAAATTTTTGCAAAATATATGCTGTCCTCTATCAGTGGTTGCATCTACGATAAAGGGGAAGATATCATCATCATCTGGACTTTCTTCACCTGGGGTGTGTGTTGAGCTCATTTTTTCGTTTGATGACTGTTAATATGTAATTATCAATGTGTCTAATTGGTTGGTTCCAATTGTATAAATGTACTGGTTTGTGTTTATATTGCTTTTTTATTCTTCTTTTTCCTCTTTTTGATGAATTTGAAGTTGTTTCTGAGTCGGAAAAATATAATTGATCGTGAATGGGGCAATTTTTATCTATAGATTCTTTTAATTTATAAAGTTCGTCTAAACTGCTGGTTTCTGATTCTGAAAATGCGTTGCGGTTTTTGAAAAATCTTTTTCGTGTAATTTGTCTTTGTTTGATTATTATTTTTCTTTTTAGTGTTTGTCGTTTTGTTCTGATATATCCAACTGTTTGTGTATGAGGTGTGATTACAAGATCGTATTTTTTGTTATCTATTTCACAGTTGTGCAAAACGATTGTTTGTTTATTTCCTAGGTTTTTAAATGACATAAGGTTTAGGATGACGGATGCAAAAGGTTGTTAAATGATTTCTATTACTTAGACTGTTAGTCCTTACGATTTTTTGGTTAGCCTAACCTGGGTCTATTTGTTCAGGGTTGGGGAGAAAAGTATATCGATTCCGAAGAATGATTTTATACTTTCTCGTGGCTAGTATAAGCTAAGGTGTTAACTAACTTAATCTTACTTAAGGGTAGTGATTGTGTTCAGGGTTGGAGAATAGTAAATCGATCCACAAGGTTCAGGTATAATTAGAACGCGAGTAGTTCGTTAGATACTATTTTAAAACTTACTAAGTCTAAGATTTATCCTGGGTCTGGTAAGAGGGGGGATCAAGTGAAGGATGAATAACCGAAGTTCTTCACTGTTTATCCTAATTTGAATGATTAGTTTTATTCAAAAATTTCTGTTAGTCCTGGGTTTTTGGAAAGGGTTGGATAGTGAATCGACGTTTGAGGTCGTTAGACACTAGCTAAGTGGGTGGGGGAGAACAAAGTTGTTCTTTTTGATCCAAGGATAGGCCTTGATGATCAAGTTTTAAATTTAATTAAGTAGAAAATGATTTAAGATCCAAGGATAAGCCTTGATGATCTGATTTTAAAATTAAGGGATTTAAGTTTTAATAATGATTTAAATTTGTGTAGAGAAAAGATTTAGTGTTTTTATGATATTAGTGAGCTTATGAATGCTGTTATGTTTAGGTGATGAAGCTGGAACAACAGGATGATTTATAGTTACTAACCATTTATTGTCATGCTACTAATTTTTATTTTGATTTTTCAAACATGTTTTGTATATTACTGCAGAATTTAGGAAAACGATCTGAGATCTCTTTATCAATCGTTATTGTATATTAATAATTTGGTTTAGCGCCTGAAATGATTTTGAAGATTGACTTCAAGATTTTATGTTTGCAAATGAAAATCTAAATTCATTGCTAGTAGTATTCTAAATACAAAAGTTTGTGTTGGCTTTTGCCGAACTATCATATAACTATATGGTAAGTTTCTACTTTGTCGTATGTCGTCTCTGGTTCGAGGTCTTCTTGCAATTCCGGGTAGTTCTGTTATCGTTCGGAATATTGGCTCTGATCTATTGAGTCGTAGAGACATTTCGATTAAATTATTGTCGTATAACATTTTGTAAATGTTTTGTCTAAATTCTAATCTATTTTTGGTTAATTCTAAGCTATTAAGGTCTTGTTCGAGACTTATGGTCGCACCAGATGAGTTAGGACCGAAGTGTATAACTCATAGAGTAATTTCGGATAGGGTACACCGTCTGCTCGTCACGCTATCTTATTTTCGGCCGGATAGATTCGTGCAACTTCTTAGTCTAATACCAATCCTAATCTTACTCTTATACTATCTAGTCTCAGGTTGTTTAACTAGTCTCTGCTAGGCTCAATAGATCTAGGGTATACTGGTTTATTGCGGTTGCTGAAGTCTTCTTGGAGAGTTAACTAATTTCTAAGTTAAATTCAAATCTCTCTGGTGCTGAAATTACAAGTAATTTCAGCACTTACAAATAAGTGGGTTGTTAGTTAGATGGATCATGATTGGTTAATATTAAATACTTTACAGTGGTAAAATATCTAATTTATCCAATCATAAAATGTAGTTTAGATCAGGTTCCAATATCTTCTCTGTGCAAAGGAATATTTTGCACAGAGACGAAGCTTCGCTTCGCAAACACTAGGGAGAAGACGACAAAAAGCAGCTCTAGAAAAGGCATTAAGAAAAAAAGAAATAATCCTCGAATTAGTACAAATTCGGCTAGGTATAGGATTCGATCTGCTGAAAACTAGAGTTTTTGAGTCTCACGCTTTTGTAGCCACTCAGCCACGCATGCTAATAAATGCGAAAGTGGCACCAATACAAATAGAACAATTTTGCAAGTAATAATTTGGAATATAACAAACTGGAGGCATCCACACTAGCTTTGCATTTAACAAGTCGGAAAGCATAAACAAAAATATGAAAGCGCGAACAAACTTTTTTCCTAGAAAAATTACAACCTAAATAGGTGTCTTCACTTCTATAAATTCACTTAGGCAATCGGGCAAATTAAGCAGTTTCATCACCAAAAGGGAAATTGTAAAGGAGCTAAATAAAGCAGTATTGGAAAGGATTTTTACCGAAACTCTGGGTATAAAACATTTGATCTCTATTAATCTTCACAGCAAACTCAATAGGAAATGCACATATAAAACCTCTAGATTGAGTTGTATAACATAAAACTGTTTCAGCCACCAACTTTAATAGGAAACTCTTGTCACAACCATGAAAAATTAAACTGAGCAGAATTAAGCTCTAGATTTATAGCACACAGGGATTCACGCGATTAATTGACCAACCTGTTTGGCGATCTAAAAAACTAATGAATTCTGAGGATCTGTTCAACTCGCAGACTACTGGTTGCAAAAGATACAAAGCTAACAACAAGACATGTTTGAAAAGCCTTCAATCTAATTAACATACTGATATGTGCATGGATATATTATACAGATTACCTGGATCATTAGTTTTCCCTTCAGTAGCTTGAAATGTTAAATGTTCAAATCACTATAAGCGTCAACCCATTAAAACTGTATAGTAAAAAATCAAACATAGCCAACAGAAACCGAAAAACAGTCATAAACCGAAGGAAATGGAAAAAAAACTTTCAAATTTTAAAGAAAAAATGCCCTTAAAGCTCTTTGAATTTCTAGAATAATTTATGATTGGCTTTTTTTGATGAAATAAACCCAATTTGAAAAATCTGCATCAATAAGATAAATTTCGCTGGGAAATCTGAAAATTAAATTCCACTTTTGAAACTAGAAGTCGATCACGTTTTTCGTGACCTTTACACTTTTGCTGTTCGATAGTGGAGTTTGCCTTTCTTTAAAAAAAATAAATGACTTCTCTTATCTTGTGAAAGACTCAACTTACTCTTCTTCTTCTTTTTGGGCTTCTTCCTCGTCTGTTTCGTCCCATTCTCGTCCACGTATTCCTCCTCTTCGCTTTCACTCTCTTCTCCATCGTCGTCAGATCCACTCAACTGACCTCCTGAAAAAAAAACCTCCACTCAACTATCATCAAAGTTTAGCAGCAATTTCAGATTTGCAGAGGTCAGATGCAAGGGATCTGTCAACTAACCTGCCCCATGCTCCCAAGAAGAGACCTTCCACTCCAATGTGGAGATTGAAAAAAAAATGCAGTATTATTATTATTACTATTATTCAATGATTAGGCACATGCAGATTTCTACCTATTAATTAGTACATGCCATTTGAAATATGGGGAGCGAGGATAGCTAACAAAACACAATGCAAGTATGACTGTTCCGACAACCCATAAAGAACACAGGAAATCTGCTTTGGAGTCTTTCCTTAATGAAAATCATAACCACACCAAAACGTTAGATATATTCGAATGGGCTTTAGGACCTGACCTGTATGATTAACCTGACACGTAGGTCGAGAAATATTAATTTAAGTTTTCCATTTTCAACTTCATAGATTTGTTTTGCAACGGTATATTGGTTCTTTCTCTCGTAGATACATGATCTAAATTGATTTATTTTATCAAGTCTTCACTCCAACCTTCGGCCAGCTTTTTCTTAAGTTCCTCTATCTCCTCCTGGAACTTGCGCAGCATGGCGTCTTTGGGATCCTCGTTGATCTTGGGCTTGTTTTTGATGTTCTTCGCTCTGTTCGCATATCTCAGAGTGCTGATGGTCTCGTCATAGTTGTACTCGGCAGGACCAATATTAGCACACTACAAAATAATACAATCTCCCAACTAGCAATTGAGCTGAGTTAACTTCCTTTATGACTAATGAACAGCCCTCTCAACTTAGTACGGTTACGATTCTGGGAGAAATTTTTTTAGGGGGGGGGGGGTGGGTACACACACTCTCTCTCTCAGGAATTCGACTGCCTGCTGACCCAAAGGAGGGGTCTTTACTAATTTTGAGGTGGAGCGCGCGCCAAAAATACGCGATTTTTGGTCAAAATTTCCCAGTGCCTAAAAACGTTTCTTTTGGCCTGTTTTTTGAAAATTCGCCCACCCCTCCAGAAAATCCTAGATCAGCTCCTGGTTGAAACAATTTTCGTTGAACATACCGTCAAAATGGTTCAACGTTCAAAATTTATTCTTTATATGACTTTCCGGAGCAATATTAAACACAGAGGCGAAAACACACTTCGCATACACAAGCAAAAATATGACCGATAATGCTACTGGGAAAAACTGAATGAGTAAAACTTTGAGTCTACAGAATTTCTTAAGTGACACACGCCAATTATGAGTCTACATAATTGCTAAATGACGCAAGCCAATGATGACCTATTAGCAGTACCAGTCAATTTGAAAAAAAGAGAGAAATTTACCATTTAACATTCCACAATTTATAGAGCGGACGCATTTTAACTAGTATACGAAAAAGTTCAATAAAAACATCCGACCCTGCCCAGGTTCGAACCCTTTTTTTTTGTTGCGGGTCTCCTTCCCTACCTCTACGCTTCAGATCCATGATAGCTTGAAACTAAAGTCCTATTTGTAATAGTAATAGTCTGTGTAAATATCCTTAGCATTGGCTGTACTTAATAGCTGGTTGTATTGATCAAAATGAACACATTTTGTCGCAACAAAATTTGGGTCGCAACAATATTTGCGACTTAGGTTCGAAAAAAGAGAGAGTTCATACTATACCACAAGCTATGCTTGTGTAAATAGGCGGTAACTTTAAAAACAACTACAGTAATGCATGTATGAAACTTAAAAACTCAATACATAATATATTTCATTTTAATCAATTGTACAAATTACACGCTTCGTTATTTTTTCAAATAATTTTGTTCGAAATAAAACAAAGAGAGATTCAGGCATTTAATCTGAGTCTGCCACCTATTGTAATATATGACCGACTTTCTCTTTTGCACCACTCAATTATTTGCTGGCATATAATTCTGGTATTGACACGAATAAAAAATGTCTATTGTGAGTACTACCATCATGGTTTTAGAGTTGCCTCCGAGAGAGTCCTGCAGCAGTCGGGTGAGTTTGGAGTTCCTGTAGGGTATGTGGGAGCTCTTGCCGTCCACCAGAGCACTTATGACATTTCCCAGAGTGGCAAGGGAGAGGTTGATCTTAGTGGCCTCCTTCAGCCGATCTCCAGTCGCACCTGTCTTCGACTGACGCTCCGATCCCTGACAAAAATCACATCATCACAATCTATAGAACTCATTTATAGAGGCATTAACAAATAGTTGATACCATAATACATACACTTCCAAGCATACTAAAAATATCGTTAAGACCTTTCTAGTGATAGCCTTTAGACCGGTTGAATTAACTTGGAGATATTGGAGTTTTTCTAAATTTCATATGTAGCTCCTAGAATAAGCTAAAAATTAATAACATACATAACCTGATGTTTTAATAAAAAAAATATGAGGCAGAAATTTGATTGCAGTTACCGCTAGACCAACATATCTTCCTAAATAAAATAAAAATAATGTAAACCGAAATTCGAAAAAAATTCAAATTATTTTTTCCTTTTCCTTTTTTTCATCTCCTAGTGTAGAATTGGTGATTCTACTGTATTACATGCTATTGAAACCTGGGTGTAGGATTGGTAATTCATGATGAAAACGGTTGAAAATTGCGAAATTTGATTTTAACGTCGACTGTATGAACTTGTAGCAATGAAATTCAGTGATAAATAAGCTTAGTTTGAGAGCAAACAATCGTAATCGGACTTTGCACCTTGAATTTGGCCTCTAGGGCGAAGAATTGGAAAAAAGAATAAAGCGCTAAAATCTGGAAACCCCCCCCCCCCCCGGATTGGGAACCACTGGTCCGATCCTTATGAAAATTGGTGGGTGACTAATGGAGATGATTTTAGCCGGGCATGCAAATTTTCAGACCCCTGGGGGGCGAGTGATAATGATTTCCGAAAATGCAATTAGCACTTTTTGTAAACCGGTAACTAATGGTCAGAATGACTTCATATTGCAATATGTTGTAGCCCTAGGCGAGGGAAGATCACCACCGGGATTTTGAACGCATCCGGTCATTACTTCCGGTTTTAACGCCCTATGTAAACAAAACCTACTTTTTGTTATTTCTCGACCCCTGATGATGCTAGGAGGCTGAAACTTGGGGGGATGGTAGGTTGGGGTAAGACCTATAGTGTATCAATGTTTGGACCCAATCCGGCGGCTACGTCGGAAGCTATTAGCACTTGAAAATTGAATAAGGCTATTAACACCTGATAGTAATAATTGACTTGTGATTTTAATGCACCAATGTAAAGGGGGGCCCAACCCAGTAGGGGGACATCTAGTGACCCAATTCTCTCCGGAACTTCCTATGGGGTGAAAATGGCAATTTTAGGGAAAAGTGTTAATTGACCCAATATTTTCGAAAATATGGGAAGGGATGGTCCGATATGAATGAAACTTAGTGAGAATGATCTCCCATCGGAATTAAGACGTTTGGACACGTTTGACCTCATTTGATCTCGGATGACCTCTAAGAGGTCGTTTGGCATTTTTGACCCCAAGACCCCGGAAACCCCTAAAAAGTAATAAATTAGCATTGTAAGGACCCGTAAAGGGTTACCTACCCACCTGGGGAGGTAAGGGGAGGCCCCTAAATAAAGATTTCTTAGTTTTGACCTTTGTACGCGAGCGAAAGTGATTTTCTGTAATTAGCAAACATTGGGGTCAGCTTAACCCACTCCACTTGGACTTTCGATAAAAACGACAAACAAGTAAAAATACAGCCGCGTACAAAAATTGGGAACATCTATGGGGGAAAATGGGAATTTCGGGGTGAAGATTTTATGAACAGCCCTAGCATATTAAATAAATTCTTGTGGTGTTTTTTCGGATCCAAACGGACACGGGGAAGGGAATTACCCAGCCCTTGGACTTAGGGGAATAAAATTAAAATGACCAAAATGGAAACTTTTCAAGTATCACGGAAGTTAAGTGACCGATTGTGTGAGTACTACCCAATCCATAGGAAAGGGAAAAAGTTAGGAAGAACTAATATAAAATCATGCAAGAGGTCATTTGTCAAATACGATTGGGAGCCGATTTTGTAGTTGAACCCAATGTTTGCTCAGTATGTCCTGATTAACTGAGTGGCAGCTAGTTAAGTGAATGATATTTAATTAAAGCTGACCTAATGGTTGATTCAGCTGACAAGTCCTGAGTGACCGCTAGTTAAGTGAATGTCAGTAGCGATAAGGAACGGTAGGCCTCTGACCGAACCGAAAGTAAATAAAGATAACGATACGCGATTAAGGTACAACCACCGAACCGGGTCAGAACAATTGATACTGAGATAGAGTATAGTTGGTTCTCAGTTAGAGAGAACAATTGATACTGAGATAGAGTATAGTTGGTTCTCAGTTAGAGAGAGAACAATTTGGGCTACGAGTTGAGGTAGTCGCTTTGTTCTCAAAGTAAAGTGGGAACAAGTTGGAAGACTTGTTAACGTGATTTAGTTAGTTAGTGGATATAAGTTAGGCTATCTAGAGGATAGTGGGATCGTTGTTGAACGATCGATATTGAAAGAAGTTCTCGAGGAGAACGTTAGTTAGTTAGTTAATAGTAAGGCGTTAATTGAACTGCAGTGAGCAGGGGTTAGTTAATTAATACAAATCGCAGTCCTATTCTTTATTTGAACGACTAATTGATATTCCAGCCATTTATAGGCTACTCTGTATTTGGTTATATTTATTTCTTAATTCAGTCTTATTATTGGAATTGTTGTTGCGATCGACTATTGATTGACAAGTGAGATACAGTCGGAAGAGCACAGATCACGGGGCAAGCAGCATAGTAAGATACAGAGAAGCCAACCACCAAATCAACCCTTTTGGGATTGTAAACAGCATTGGGAATCGGTTGCCCCACTGACCCCAGTACAAAAGGGAACATATTGCGGCGGTGCGAAGGACGATAACGAGAGAGAAAGCCGGCCTAGAGATATTGTGAATTCCCCCACGTTTACAGTGGCGCTCCTGGGTGGGCGCTTTTCTGGATTTTAGCTGCAACGACGATTTGTGTGTGAAGACGAGCATTGCGAACGAACAATCGACAGACGATTGCCATGGGTGAAAGCAGAATGAGGCAGATTATGGCTCCCTCCAAATATCCCAGAGTGCTGACAGGAGAAGTTGGAGGAGAACATTTTGCCCCCAGATCGGAGTCGGCTAAAAAGGGACGAACTTTCGTTTGGGGCAGTGTGTGTGACGAAATAGTGGACATTGAGATTGACAATAGGACAGATTGCAACTTGATATCCGAAGGTTTGCTTGAACCCCTCGGGTGCGAAGACGCTGTCCGGAGATTTAATGGAAAGTTGAAAGGAACATTCAATGGAAAAGAACAAAAGGTCGAGGCCCTGGGATACATCAGAACAAGAGTCGGAATCGGTAGCTTTGAGGGAACCTTCATGTTGATCGTTGTCAGTAACCGAGTTCTCGATTCAGATGTAGTCCTGAGTGCTCAGGAACTTGCGGAGTGTCACAAACTATTCGTAAGCCACAAAAAAAGAGCGCTGTGTCACGAGGGCAACCTAATGGAGCCGACACCAGTAGTTTTTGAGAAACTACCAAAGACATCAATGATCACGCTGGACGAAGGAACAGTTGGGACGAAAAAGAAGGTATCAATGTGGAATGGGGAAGAATCGAAGAAGCCGAGTACGGGTATGGATAGCGAACGGACCACGCCGGTCGAACCCTATTCAACTACGGCGACTCACTCGAGACGAAGTGATAATGACGATTCATCGGGCAGCAGAATGATGCTGGAAGCGGCTGAAGTGCCAACCGAGGTTAACCCGAAGCTGCACTTGATCGATGGGTTCGTGGACAACCTAGTTCGGATGGAGTTGGAAGAGACTACTGCAGTCCACATGATGAATGTATGTGCTTTCATGATCCTAGAATCTTCCCCTCAGCTTCAGGCGTTCAATGGGAAAATTCACGAATGCTGGGACGATCAGGTTAGTGACGTTGTTGTTTTGGGCCAGGCTGAAGTGGATGTGCAGATTGGGGCATTCACCGAGCGGCTGGATGTTGTTGTGGTGGCGGCTACTGAGATAGAAGTCGACGTGGTTCTGAGCCTCAAACAATTGGAAGGACGACACGGGATGCTCCTCGAGAGTCCCAGAGGGGTGCTACGGATTGGAAGGGAAGAAGCGGTTCAGGTGATCACCGAAGATTGTGAAGACATGATCCCACATCACTTCGAAGTTGTGTTTGACGGGGACAGAAACCCCGAAGTCCCAAGAGCAACGAGCAAAGGAAAAGACAAAACCAAGCTAGCCGAGCCGATCCACGAAGGGCTGGGTATATTGGCAGAACCTGTTGGCAAAGATGGCATCACATCAAGACTACGTAGCGTTGAAACAGAGCCTACTGCACGCGCTGAGACCCAATGTTCCGGTTCCGTAACTAGCGAGGGTAAAATTGAGGACGCAACGGAAGTCAAATTGAATTCAGGGCGGAGAACCAGATCCGTTGAAACTCGCAGGAGGTTTGTGAATGCATTCGCCAATGGTGTGTATATGGATACCGAACTTGACGACGAGATTATGGGCAATTTGATGCGACTGGACGCTTACCAGACGTTGCAGCCACGGCCAGCTATACTGCACTTCAACGGAAGCTTGATTGGAAGATGTGACGGAAATGTCCGAGATGTCGAAGTGTTGGGATTAATTTCGGTGGAAATCAAGTTGGGGAGACTGAAGAGGACATTCCCAGCAGTACTCTTGGAGAACCACGAGATGGACACGGACATGGTTCTGAGTACTCGATGGATGAATGAATGCTTAGGAAGTTTCTACGATGAGCAGTCAAAGAAATTTTTCACGAGTTCCGAACCAAATTCGGCGGTTTCATTCGAATGGGAGTCGTGCCCAAGGCCACAGAAAATTGAACTCGCAGAGGAGTCTCAGACACAGTTAGTAGATCGGAAAGACGGAGATGAAAAGCCGGTGGCGGGACGCCAAGTGAAGGAGTCACGAGTTGTGGCCCCCAAGAATGCGAGGAAGGAAGTGAGTGAATCAACTCCCGTAGAGACGGACGACAGGTGTTGGATGCCCATCAGAGCCTTTACGAGTGGCTACGTCAACAACAGGGCTGCTAAAGTGGAACTGGATCCAGACACTGAATGGACCCTGTTAAGCTACGAAGCCTACCGGTCGATTGGATCAGAGATGCCCCTGAGACAGGCCGGGGACATTCTCGAGACAAAAACAGGATCTCGGATGACCTCTAAGAGGTCGTTTGGCATTTTGACCCCAAGACCCCGGAAACCCCTAAAAAGTAATAAATTAGCATTGTAAGGACCCGTAAAGGGTTACCTACCCACCTGGGGAGGTAAGGGGAGGCCCCTAAATAAAGATTTCTTAGTTTTGACCTTTGTACGCGAGCGAAAGTGATTTTCTGTAATTAGCAAACATTGGGGTCAGCTTAACCCACTCCACTTGGACTTTCGATAAAAACGACAAACAAGTAAAAATACAGCCGCGTACAAAAATTGGGAACATCTATGGGGGAAAATGGGAATTTCGGGGTGAAGATTTTATGAACAGCCCTAGCATATTAAATAAATTCTTGTGGTGTTTTTTCGGATCCAAACGGACACGGGGAAGGGAATTACCCAGCCCTTGGACTTAGGGGAATAAAATTAAAATGACCAAAATGGAAACTTTTCAAGTATCACGGAAGTTAAGTGACCGATTGTGTGAGTACTACCCAATCCATAGGAAAGGGAAAAAGTTAGGAAGAACTAATATAAAATCATGCAAGGGGTCATTTGTCAAATACGATTGGGAGCCGATTTTGTAGTTGAACCCAATGTTTGCTCAGTATGTCCTGATTAACTGAGTGGCAGCTAGTTAAGTGAATGATATTTAATTAAAGCTGACCTAATGGTTGATTCAGCTGACAAGTCCTGAGTGACCGCTAGTTAAGTGAATGTCAGTAGCGATAAGGAACGGTAGGCCTCTGACCGAACCGAAAGTAAATAAAGATAACGATACGCGATTAAGGTACAACCACCGAACCGGGTCAGAACAATTGATACTGAGATAGAGTATAGTTGGTTCTCAGTTAGAGAGAACAATTGATACTGAGATAGAGTATAGTTGGTTCTCAGTTAGAGAGAGAACAATTTGGGCTACGAGTTGAGGTAGTCGCTTTATTCTCAAAGTAAAGTGGGAACAAGTTGGAAGACTTGTTAACGTGATTTAGTTAGTTAGTGGATATAAGTTAGGCTATCTAGAGGATAGTGGGATCGTTGTTGAACGATCGATATTGAAAGAAGTTCTCGAGGAGAACGTTAGTTAGTTAGTTAATAATAAGGCGTTAATTGAACTGCAGTGAGCAGGGGGTTAGTTAATTAAAACAAATCGCAGTCCTATTCTTTATTTGAACGACTAATTGATATTCCAGCCATTTATAGGCTACTCTGTATTTGGTTATATTTATTTCTTAATTCAGTCTTATTATTGGAATTGTTGTTGCGATCGACTATTGATTGACAAGTGAGATACAGTCGGAAGAGCACAGATCACGGGGCAAGCAGCATAGTAAGATACAGAGAAGCCAACCACCAAATCAACCCTTTTGGGATTGTAAACAGCATTGGGAATCGGTTGCCCCACTGACCCCAGTACAAAAGGGAACATATTGCGGCGGTGCGAAGGACGATAACGAGAGAGAAAGCCGGCCTAGAGATATTGTGAATTCCCCCACGTTTACACCTAGCCCCCTTTTTCCGCTCCGCCATCCACCCTCTATCGAATACTCCTTAGACAGGCCATTTCCCTTAATATCCATTAACACAGAGGCGAATTTGCACTTCGCATACACAGACAAAAATATGACCGATAACGCTACTGGGAAAAACTGAATGAGTAACACTTTGAGTCTACAAAACTTCTTGATTGACGCACGCCAACTATGAGTCTACATAATTGCTAAGTGACGTAAGCCAAGTATGACGCATTAGCAGTACCGCTAAATTTGAAAAAAAAACCATTTAACATTCCTCAATTTACGAAAATGTTAATTAAAAACATCCGACCCTGCCCAGGTTCGAATCCTTTTTTGTTGCGGGTCTCCTTCCCTACCTCTAGGCTACAGATCCATGATTCCTTGAAGCTAAAGTGCTATTTCTAATAGTAATAGTCTGTTTAAATGTCCTTAGCATTGGCTGTACTTAATAGCAGGTTGTATTGATCAAAATGAACACTTTCAAAATGAACACATTTTGTCGCAACAAAACTTGCGTAGCAACAATATTTGCGAATTAGGCTGAAAAAAAAGGCTTCATACTATCACACAAGCTTTGCTGGTGTAGTTAACTTTTCTAAGTATCGGGTAAGGACCGGCAATACAACACGTGCCCCCGGGTTCGGAGTCTAAGATATTACCTCCAATTAATCAAATTAACTAAAACAATATTCATAAGAAATTAATTATCACGAAAATTTAGGAAAAACAGGAAAATAGCGTTTTCTGATAATTCTGAAGGATTACAGGCTAGCAAACCATTTGAAATCAGGTTACTGAAGAGCTTGGCAGCTCTGTACCGAATGGATAACTTTTCGAATGGATAAATTTAGTTCGAAAGGGTTGGATGTTCAATAAGTTTTTAGGTTAAAATTCATAACAATCGACAATTCGTTAACGAAGCCTATAGACAGTTGGAAAAAAGAGTCAACGAACGCACGCAACGAAACAAAAAAATTATATTGTTTTTAGAAAAAACGTTCTAACAATAAATATATGGCCTCAAAGCTCTGAATTTCAAGAGCAACTTTTTATGGGCACTTTTTTGATGAAACTTACCCAATTTGAGAATAAGGTTTGAAAATAAGGTTCTTTCCTGGACGATTGATTCATTTTTTGGATTCTTGAATTTAGCCTCAAATTTGTGCCAGCTTAGTTGAGTAACTGATCCTCTTAAAACGATTTATCTAGTAATATCTAGTACCAGGATTACTTACGGCCAAGTCGACCAGGTGCAGTTTGCCCACTTTCACATGCTGCTGACCATCGGGGCCCAACTCACTGCACTCAATGGTGCTGGAGAAGATGGCGTGACTTCTGCTGCTCTGTTCATTCATGTTCGTAGAGCCCACCACTCTATTTTTGTTCCCTTCAAAATAATTATCATGAACAAGGATAGCCGATTGCTGTGCAAGTAAAACAGAATGTACCGAATTATACAGCCATTTTTTCTGCGAGGTGCCATGAGAAAAACACAAATGCATAGAAAGTTATTGAACCAGTCATAATCGACAATTTTTTAACGAATGCGTAGAAAGTAATTGAACGAGGCATAATCGACAATTTTCTAAAGTTTTGTAGAAATTTAAAAAAAAATAGCCGTACTATTCCACTACCCTCGCTAAAGCTCGATAATGTAACAACAACTATTATAACCCTATACAAGCCTGCTCGCACGTTTTATTCGCTTGGAGTTAGAGCAACATGACAAAATTTAAACCGGTTTTTCGCTACACTTGGAATTTTTTTTGGAGAAAACTTACACTTGGAGAAAACGACAGAAAGCAGCTCTATAAATTGCAATAAGAAAAAACATAAATAAGGCACGAATACGTTAAAAATCGGCTACGTCTCGGTATCGAAGCGGCAACCTAGAGATTATGAGTCACAAATAAAGCAGAGAACAGATGTTATGCAATTTCCAATGCTACAGTGAAAATTCCAAATAATTGAAGACCTTTAATGAAAACTTTTATTTGCGAGCAGTGTTAGAAAACAAGGTTTCATTCGTCGGAAACAGTAGCGGATTTAGGGGGGTGGGGTGGGGACGCTCGCGTAAGTGTTACGAGCCGAGCAACAAAAGAAGCTTCGGATCTCAACTATGATGAAAGAACTGACCTAACGTCATGATACGATCCATATCATCGGCATTGTTGACCGCAAATGTTGACAAATCTTTTACATACACCCCAATATCTGGCCGTTCTTTCACTTCTAGGCGCTTGTTCTGGTCTTTGCCCAGGAGATCACGCACCTCCTCATTGTAGATTTCGAGATAAGATACTCTCACTAGAAACCTGAACAAAAAATCAAAGATGAGACAATTGCACGAACGTCTCAAAATTGGATCAGAGTGTTCTTATTGCTCTAAAAAACGGTTTACACATGAGGTATTTCTGAACAAGAAACTTTATAAGATTTTTTTTTTATCAATAGGTGCATCACAATTCAGTCAGTACTGTTCAAAAAACCCATTTGGATAATTCTTGATTTTAGGGCCCGATCAAATACTAATCACATTGCGTCTTATAGAAAGATTATTAACTAATACGCCATTCAATCTCGCCCCCTCCCCCCTCAACTCTAGTTGCCAAAATCCCCCTACCACCGCTGGTTGCCAAAAGTGGCCCTCCTTTGCTTTAATTTGACATCCATTTTTGGCTAACCAAACTCAAAGTTTTCTTAAGGCGCCAATATAACTAAATTTGAGGGGGGAGCGCACGCCGAAAAATAGGCAATTTTCGGTCAATTTTTTAAATGCTCAAAAAGTCAGTTTAGCCTTTTTAAAATCAAATTGGAAGAGTTAAAAAGTCGACAAAAATTTCTAATTTTTTTTGAAAAACCTCCCCCTCCCCCGCCTAGAAACGCTTCGGCGCACGCCACTGCCTGGTGAATTTAATCAGTTTTGAATAAAAAAATTTCCAAACGCTGATTTAAAAATTTTCTATCACTGAACAAATTTGAACAAATAGCGAAAAGATTCAAACTAACTAATTTAAATTTTAAAAATCAATTTAAAGGGGTCCTTCCGTCATTCGAAATATAGGAGTTGTATAGGGTCAAATCAACGCAATATAAACGAATCAGCGAACAATTAAAGAATATTACTCAAAGTATCAAGCGACTTCCTTGTGATATCCTTCCTGGTGATAAGCCAGCACAGTTTCGGGGGCGGTAATTTAACAGATCTGAACCACTCTTACTCCCGCCCTGCACACCTCAATCACTATTGACATTTTGGTTCTACCTATCACAACCTGCTCACAGTGAAGACAATAGACAGAATCAAAGAAAGCGAATATGATTCGAACACTGTAAGAACAGCACCTTCAGTGCTCAAAACTGATACCTGATTTCATCAATCCTGCTCGGGAGTAACCGCAGCAGTATTCGTCAACCTACGAAAAGTCAGCGGCCTAGATTGGTGCTGCTAGCCATGTTTATTCATAGCGAAAAACTACAACCCAGTATCAGCCAATATGGAATGACGGAAGATATCTCAATCCAGATGCTCCATCTGAAAGACGATATAAAATCATTCAAATTGAAAACGAAAAGACAAACAGCTCGGAGATCGGTAAGAATCAGTGGACTAGTTGAGAATGAGAAAAAAGTGTGTACGTAAGAAAATCTGATTGAAATAAACAAAATCCGGAAAATGACAGCATATACTGGCCTAGGCGACATTCGTTTAAATAACTCCATCGGAGCAGGAAACTATGGCAAAAAGTCAGAACACTAATAGTATATCTGCCAACCAGAGTTGAAGTCGAGTCAAAAGCATCAAAAGCCATGTAGGAAAAATGGGAAACACTCACAATATCTTTATCTACCGCGAATTGACAAATGATGACAGGGTCGAAGAAAAGAAACACCTGAAAAAACGACGGGAGCTGATTGATAGTGGCACAGACCAAAAAAAGCACAAAAATCAAAAGCACAACTCGTGAACAGAGAGGTAGTCAATTGGTGACTAGCTCAAACAGCACCTTCTATCCTACTTATCAACGCCGATCATTGAAAATGAAAAACGGTATGGCGAATCTGATTATTGACCGAGGTCATCTAAACCCAGACTTCTGTATGGTAACAGAAACCTGGTTGAACAATGATATCAGCGACTTGTCCAAAAACTTCGTGGTGACAGAAAATTAGAAAAACAAGAAACTCGGAGGTGGTGTTTGCATGATTGTAAGGAAAAACGTACCAACTGAATTGACCAATAAGATTTCAAGAGTCACTGTGATTGAGAACGAAATTCATGAAGATCATCTTAGCCGGCCGTATATTTAAGCCATCAGATTCAAAGGCCAGTGAACAAATGCTCAGAACAGTAAAAGGTGTTGTTGTTTGTAGCCGCCGTCTCTCTCTAGTCGTCTTCGAGTTTAAGAAAAGCTGATGCATCCACCGGTTGCTTCCAGAGCGCATCAACCGTCAATTCTGTTGTGTTGGCCGGGCATTCAAATAGATGTTGGGTTGTGTGACCAGGGTTGTTGCAGTTTGGACAGACGTCTTCTATTTCTTCATCAATTGTTGACATGTATGAATTCAATAAGCGACAGTATCCGTTTCTGAGTTGTGCCAAGCGTGTTCTGCAGACTCTAGGTAACGAACTCTGTTTCATGTATTTCTGGTGGTGCGCTTCCATAAACAGGGTTCGGTCTGAGGTTTCTGCTGGTTTCGCTGACGGTCTGTTAGTGTATTGCTTTTTGTAGCCTTTTTACTTCTTTCGCATCAATTTGTCTATTCGGTAGCTGGTTTTCGTATTTGTAAAACAGGTCTGGTTTCATCTGTGGTCGGTGTAGGAGAGATTTGATGATTAGTGAGTGGCAGGGGTGCCTCCAGTTATAACAGGTGACGGCATATTGTTGTTCACGCATATTTGTGTGCTCTTTGATGGGAAGAACTCGTGGTTTGTTGTGTAGATCGTCTATGTTCGTCACGTAGCATCCTGTTGTTATTCGGAGTGCTTTGTTCTGTGCATGTTGTAGTAGTTTTCAGTGGCAGTCTTTGATGATGGGGCCACGTAGAATAGCGGTAGTTGATGACAGATCTGCTAGTTGCTTTGTACAGAGTCATGAGGGTTTCGCGGTCAATGCCCCATGCTGTACCTGCGATGGCTTTGAGAACTGCGTTGATCTTCTGCGCTTTGGCAGCGATGTCTCTGGTGTGCGGTCCAAGGCAGACCATTGCGTCGAGGGTAACTCCGAGCAGCTTGGGCGTCTTCGCAAGTTTCAGGATGTTGCTTTGCACGAGAACCTGATAATGCTTGTTGGCCTGAGCGGACTGAAGAGTGAAAAGAGTGACTGTCGACTTGTGTTCAGAGATGGTGAGATTCAGTGACTGTAGCTGTTAAGTCAGTCAACGAGGTCATCTGGGTTAGGGCCCGACACCGTCTTGAACAAAACCGGGTCTTATTTTGCGAGGCTTCGAGCATCTCCCGCGAAAATTAACTCTGGCTAGTCTGTCCTGCAAGTAGTTAATCATCCAGCGTTTGATACTGTTCGGCGCTGGGTTGATCAGAATTCGCTCGGCGAGGCAACTGTGATCTACCGCATCGAAGGCAGCGGTGAGATCAAGCGCAACTAGGATAGTCCTCTGTCGGCAAGCTTCTTCTGGTTGAAACCGCGCGTGAAGTCGGCGACAATGTGGTGAAGGGCTGTGTTGGTTGAGTAGTGCTTGCGGAAACCGTGCTGTGTCGGCTGTAACACGGAGTTGGTCCCAATGTGAGGCAGGAGGATTCTTTCCAGGATATTGGCGGTGGCGCAATGCAGGCTGATGGGTCTCAAGCTCTTGCCAACAGTGGTCTTTGCCAGGTTTGGGAAGAGGGATGACATTGGACTTTATCCAGATTGTGGGAATGATGCCAGTGTTGAGGGAGATCTGGAAGGTGTTGCACAAGTATTTAACGGCGAGAGGTCCTAGTTTCTTCAGGTGCAGGCTGGTGATCTCATCAGGGCCAGTTGCTTTCGAGGGCTTGGCACGTTTAATAGCTTGTTCATTTTCTTCAGGTGTAATCGTTGGGGCGTCGTCCAGGCAGAGCTTGGCGGTTCTCCTTCTGATCTTGCGGTGCTTGTGACATCCTTTGGCTCAGTTGCTGGGAGGGACGAACTGCTTGCAAAACATGTTGCTGAGCTTGCTTGAGTCGGTGTGAATTTTCCTGATGCCTTGGTTGTCGGGAGTGGAGGTTTGTCCTCTGATTTGCCTGACAAACTTCCACATTTCCGCCGGCTTGGTGCGGATGGAGATGCTACTGACTTTCTCTCTCCATTTTTTCTGCTTGTCGTCGTTGTCAACTTTGGCGTTCAAATCCGCAATGCGAGGGTCGGACGGGTTGTCAGTGCGAAGTCTGTCGCGCAGATTGGCAGCTTCGATGGCCTCAGTCGGGAGGCGGTTCGGTTCAAAGTGTTTCACTCTGCCGCGAGGGATGTGGTGGTCCGAAGCCTTGTTCACGATGTGCCTGAAACTCTTCTCGCTGCTAATGGCATCACGAGGAGGCTGGAGTTTAGCAAATTCTTCTTCGCATTCCTAGCGAAGCTTCACCGTCCGCTTTCGTGAAGATGGTGAAACTTCTTTCGGGGTTGTCGATTGTCTTGTGTTCGTCGACGAGAAGACCGATGTAGATCGGGAGGAGGTCGCTGGTCAGTTCAGTCGAGACGGTCCACTCGGCAATGTCGCTATTAGCCATAAAGATGTCAGGAGAGGTTTCCGAGCCATTCGCCGGAGAGCGGGTGGGGACATCTTCGTTCAATATGACCCATTCAGAATCGATGATTGCTTCTGCAATGTCATCGCCTCGTGTGTCTGTTTCCTCTTGTGTCCCAGAGCTCGTTGCGGGCGCTTAAGTCTCCGAGAAGCAGAGTGGCCAGGTGCTGAAGTGACGCTTTGTACCTGGTGTTGCCTGACGATTGAGGTGGTATGTAGCAGTTGACAATCGTCAACTCCTTGTTTCCGAGCTTGACGGCAATTGCTTGTTGCTCGATGGTGTCGTCGATGGGCTACTACTGTGAATTTCACATTCTTTGTCACAAGAAGTGCTAAGCCTCCTCCTTTGCCTTTCGGCCTGTCAGTGCGGACGCAAGCCCAACCAGGAGCGGAGAACTTGCTGTTCTTCGTTTCTTGGAGTGCTGCAATTGAGACATTCTTCTCGTTCATGGGGTGGGGGATCTAGTCAATTTTTCCTCTGATTCCATTGCAATTTAGCTGGAGAATCTTGAGATTTTCCGGGTTTTTTTGCTGGAGACGATGGGTGTGGTCGGAGGGTCAGGTTGTGGCTGGGGGGTTGAGCAGATTCTGCATCGGAAACCCTTGTTGCAGTCTTTAGTGCTGTTCAGGCCCGAGTCCTTCAGGTGAATCCAGTGCTTGCAGCCGGTGCGAGGACTGAGTAGCAGTTCCAGGCTACATTCTTCGTGCAGACTCCGCAAGGCCACTTTGGCCCATGGTTTGTTTCGATGACAGCTCGTTGAAGGAGGTTGTGGAGCAGAGCGGCCCGCATGTGCTGCTCCCAAACCATAAAAACGACAGAGAGAGATAGAGGATATATTGTGTCCCATTGGCCGAGATATTGAAGTCTCGGGTTGTTCCGCGACGTAGACGCTGGACACTTGAGAACCACAGTAAAAGTTCCCAGTCATTATCGCCGGTGACTCTCAGACCCAAAATCGGCGCATACGCGGTACTCTAACACGCTGGATAAAGTTTTCTGCATAAACAAGACATTCTACGAAAAGCCGGAAGCGCTCAGAACATAAATGGCGATCGACCACCGGGCAGTTTTTTTAAAGACCAGAGCTGATCCATTATTTAAGTGAACATAAATTGTAGAGTGATGAAATTTGAGAAAAACTCCACATTGGCATTAGATTAGTTATTATCACAATGGCATATGAGAATTTGGAATCGCCAGTAGATAACCTCCAAAAACTTCTGATCCAGCTGCTGAATGAAACATGCCCTCTCAAAACAGCTAGAAACAGCAGTATGGACCCAACGTTCTCACTCCATACCTCAAAACATGTAACAGTCGTTCGCTTATGTCACATATGAGGCTTAAGAAAAATAGGTCATATAACCATTGGCTCAATGCTAGGGACACTATCTCTTGTGTTTTTGTACCTCATTCTGACGGAGCCAATTCGGTTCGCTTAGACATGGAACTACAAAATCATGTTACAGCTTTAAGGCCACTGCCAAAATAGAAATAATAATCTAGAAACTATAATAAACTACCTCTAGAAAAAAGAACGCCCCCATGGCTAGGTAGGTCTCTAAATACCTACAACACGCGAACGCCGTTAAAAACAGGGTTGGAAACTTAAGCATACCACTAATTTTTATAGGAAAGTGGACGTTTGATCCATTTCAGATGGATCAACCTAAAACCCGCCTAATCTCAACATGACTGAGTGAAAATACACTCAAGAAATTAAATTAAGTACTCAAATAGTGACACGAATCTAGAATTGAGCATATAATGTAAGTAAAGCAACTCTAGAAGTTTTAGGGAAAAATAGTTTTAACTCAAGAAGTTGTTTTGTTTTGACCATTGGGCAGCTTCACCGTCGTCCTACCCAATCACGGTTCTCTCTTGCCCAGCGATGGCACTTAGGAATTCGCGATATTCTCTGTCGGAAACAAGACAGCTCTACTCGATTGGTTATTTCGGTAAAATTGCGAATAGCAATTTTCTCTAGAACAATTTTCGGTCAACTTTCCCGCAATTATGTCACGAATCTTCTGATTTTCTTGACTTCTTATTTCAGTTGCTGCGATAAACTTGAGCATGAAATGGTCGATTCTAATTTTTCAAAATTTACCGTTTCCCCCAAAATCAAGGTCAAACTTCAGAATATGACCGACTGGCACTACCTACACTACTACGAAAAAAAAAACATACCGCGAAGACAAAAGGCCAAAACCTGAATCAGTTGGAAACAGAATACGATGCAAAATCAAAGCAAATCAGACAAAAGATTTAAGAAAAGGATCCGCTAAATGGTGGAAAGAAGTGAACACGCTTGAGGTAAAAGCAGAAACATTTAATAAGTTTTCGGCAAAAAACTAACTGTTTCGTTTTTCCGCATTCTCTGATGTGGCTGAAAATATGAGCAAACGAATTTGGTATTATTCCGCGCAGCTCCGGTTGACTTCTGACGCCTTCCATTGTAAAAGTTTTTCCTGTTCCAGTTTGCCCATACGCAAATATTGTACCTAAAAATCAGTTTTAAGTTTCACATTATTCGACTTCGACGATATTAGAAATAGTGAAAAAAATACCATTGTATCCTTCCAAAACATTGTCCACAATTTTTCTTGCCGTAATATTGTAGACATCTGCCTGTTTCGATGTATCGCTGAACACATTATCAAAAGTAAATGTTTTGGGAGGCTCATCCGCATTTACACCTGTGTGTTCTACAATAATTTGTCCTCTCATTTCATCAACACGAACAATTTTCCTGTAATTTTTTTCATTATCATTCATTGGGCGACAACGCACCACTACAGCAACATTCGTGTCTTCGTTATCTTTAGCAGGAGCCATTTTATCTGAAACAATTGTGATTTGAAAAAAGTCTTATTTATTTTTCTAGTTAGTTCGGCATAAAATATTTTGAATTAACTGTTTTTTAGCTTCTGTTAGAGCCTTCGATCATTTTTAAGATCTTAGATCAACTGTTATTACTGCGTTTGAATATTTTTTAGTTTTTTAGATAAGTCAAGGAAACGAAAGCTCAGCTTATTACACAGAGGCGAAGCCGAGATTCTTGCCACTTGCTATACAATACTAGGCGAAGCCGAGATTCTTGCCACTTGCTATACAATACTAAGCAGACACTAAATCGAAAAAAAAATCAGAAATACCGAAATCTGTCAAAACGAATCAAAAACTCACACAAAAACAATAGACGACAAAAAAATCGAATCAGAAGAAAAATTATCAAGCAGTAAACAAGCCAAAAATACCAGAGAGGAACCCCTTCAAGCAAAAAAAATTCAAAAAGACATACAAACTAATGGAAAAATTTATCTCCCCATTACCTTCAGAACGGTGGGTATTCACAAGTACCAAAATGATAAATCAGTCCCATTTGTACCAAAATAAAGAATCAATCGCGTTAGTACCAAAAATATTCAATTGGCCTAAGATTATGAAGCCGACTACTTTAAGCTCTTGGTTTAAAGTCGCCGGTGGGCGCGCTACGCGCGCGTCGCCGGTTTGCGGCGATAACCGGCTCTAATTTTCGTATAGAGTCCTACCCTCTGTAGGCAAGCTCGCAACACGTTGGCGCGACTGCGGCGGTCACTATTCTGCTGTTTAGTTTTCTGTTGAACAGCAGAAAATTAGTGTAGTAATTTGTTGGCTCACAATTCGACCAATCAGAAATCGAGTTGAATAATTTTGGTACAAATGGGACCGATTTTTCATTTTGGTACAAATGACCGTTGGTACAAATGGGACGTCACCCTTCAGAACACAGAAGCACACACAAAAACTTAGCTTGTCAAACGACAAAATTTGAGGCCAACCAGCCAATATAACATGGCCCAAAACTAATCAACTCGAGAAAAAGAAACAAAAAATGAAATTAGAAAAAAGGATACTTAAAAACTAATAAAAAAGTTGTTTAAGCCCCAGATCATTAAACGACAAAATATGAGGCGAATAATGCAATATAAAATAGGCCGAAGCTTCCTAAACAGGGAAAAAAGGGACTATTTTGCTAATTGAAGGACACAACATGAGGCCAATAAGCCGAAATATTAATGAAACTTATTTCACCGACAAAAACGAAAAACATTAAAAAAAGAAACTGAAAACAAGTTGGTAAAACCACAAACAACCTTAAAAGCAAATTAAAATGGTACGGATATTCAAAATTCTAACATGCTAAAAATATATCTGTTGCAGTTTCTAACAGAGAGACGACCGCTGCAGTTCAGAGTGCAACGCGCTGAGAATGGAGATCTTCAAATTGGAGATCATACTGAGGCAATGTTGTTTACAGGAAAATGTTTACAGGAAACTAATACCAGATTGCAAGGCCCTTGCATATAAAAAAATAATTAAAAAAAAATCAGGTCAACTAGCTTGTTACGCACCTCTGGATTGGAAAACCACATAGATTGGAATCCAAATCTGCAGGCTTTTAGTGTAATCTGACAGCACCCAATTAAATGGTTGGTAATTTCATTTAATAAGATTTTTTAATTCCTAAATTCCGTCAAATCTCGAAAATGTCAAATATCGAAAAGTACGAATGAAAAAAAAAGAACACTTTATTTGCACATCGAAATTAATTTCAATACACAAGTGTATGTCAAATGTTTTCTATCAATTCATAAAAATAATATAACATCATTAGATACGCATAATTACAATAAACAACAAAATCTATTAAGAGAAAGCGTTAAAATTGTAAATTCAAACAAAAGTTTTCGCACATTTTGTGCATCTTCAGGTTTTAAAAATTCTAAACTATCTGTACAAAATGATCAAAGATCATAAAAAGTGTCACACACATCATTACTTCAAAATTTTAAAAATCAACCAATCAAAACTTTACAAATATCACTGAAATTATGTAACGACTATTATGTAACATTTTACAACATTTTGTCACAAATTTCTGAGAGTTTTCTTCATTTTTATTTTCACATTTTCGTTTTGTTGCTAATTTTTATGCTAACATGTAAGTTGTTTCAAAATTTTGAGGTTTTAGCCAGAATTTTTCGATTCTGGAACTATATCCTTAGTGTCAGCTCCCTACTTCTAAACTCGTCGCGCGTGTTAATTGCCGGCCTCTCTTTCCTAATGTGCAGCGCCTCTAATGTAAGTAACTTGATGCTGCTGGACGCCTGGTCGATTATTTTCCCATTAAACTCAGACTTACCACGCTCACTACCACACTGCCTTATATGCTGTCCAACTGGGGTATCCTCTTTTCGGTGTTCCTCAATCCTTGTCGTGAGATGTCGAACCGTCTGGCCAACATAGATGGATTTGCACCCACAACTTTCAAGTCTGTACACCACTTTTGATTTCAGTTCACTGGAAAAGGAAGATTTTAGAGAGGGCATACAAGTTTTCAATTTCCTCGTCGTGAATATTATGCCTTGGTTGTCGGGAGTGGAGGTTTGTCCTCTGATTTGCCTGACAAACTTCCACGTTTCCGCCGGCTTGGTGCGGATGGAGATGCTACTGACTTTCTCTCTCCATTTTTTCTGCTTGTCGTCGTTGTCAACTTTGGCGTTCAAATCCGCAATGCGAGGGTCGGACGGGTTGTCAGTGCGAAGTCTGTCGCGCAGATTGGCAGCTTCGATGGCCTCAGTCGGGAGGTGGTTCGGTTCAAAGTGTTTCACTCTGCCGCGAGGGTTGTGGTGGTCCGAAGCCTTGTTCACGATGTGCCTGAAACTCTTCTCGCTGCTAATGGCATCACGAGGAGGCTGGAGTTTAGCAAATTCTTCTTCGCATTCCTAGCGAAGCTTCACCGTCCGCTTTCGTGAAGATGGTGAAACTTCTTTCGGGGTTGTCGATTGTCTTGTGTTCGTCGACGAGAAGACCGATGTAGATCGGGAGGAGGTCGCTGGTCAGTTCAGTCGAGACGGTCCACTCGGCAATGTCGCTATTAGCCATAAAGATGTCAGGAGAGGTTTCCGAGCCATTCGCCGGAGAGCGGGTGGGGACATCTTCGTTCAATATGACCCATTCAGAATCGATGATTGCTTCTGCAATGTCATCGCCTCGTGTGTCTGTTTCCTCTTGTGTCCCAGAGCTCGTTGCGGGCGCTTAAGTCTCCGAGAAGCAGAGTGGCCAGGTGCTGAAGTGACGCTTTGTACCTGGTGTTGCCTGACGATTGAGGTGGTATGTAGCAGTTGACAATCGTCAACTCCTTGTTTCCGAGCTTGACGGCAATTGCTTGTTGCTCGATGGTGTCGTCGATGGGCTACTACTGTGAATTTCACATTCTTTGTCACAAGAAGTGCTAAGCCTCCTCCTTTGCCTTTCGGCCTGTCAGTGCGGACGCAAGCCCAACCAGGAGCGGAGAACTTGCTGTTCTTCGTTTCTTGGAGTGCTGCAATTGAGACATTCTTCTCGTTCATGGGGTGGGGGATCTAGTCAATTTTTCCTCTGATTCCATTGCAATTTAGCTGGAGAATCTTGAGATTTTCCGGGTTTTTTTGCTGGAGACGATGGGTGTGGTCGGAGGGTCAGGTTGTGGCTGGGGGGTTGAGCAGATTCTGCATCGGAAACCCTTGTTGCAGTCTTTAGTGCTGTTCAGGCCCGAGTACTTCAGGTGAATCCAGTGCTTGCAGCCGGTGCGAGGACTGAGTAGCAGTTCCAGGCTACATTCTTCGTGCAGACTCCGCAAGGCCACTTTGGCCCATGGTTTGTTTCGATGACAGCTCGTTGAAGGAGGTTGTGGAGCAGAGCGGCCCGCATGTGCTGCTCCCAAACCATAAAAACGACAGAGAGAGATAGAGGATATATTGTGTCCCATTGGCCGAGATATTGAAGTCTCGGGTTGTTCCGCGACGTAGACGCTGGACACTTGAGAACCACAGTAAAAGTTCCCAGTCATTATCGCCGGTGACTCTCAGACCCAAAATCGGCGCATACGCGGTACTCTAACACGCTGGATAAAGTTTTCTGCATAAACAAGACATTCTACGAAAAGCCGGAAGCGCTCAGAACATAAATGGCGATCGACCACCGGGCAGTTTTTTTAAAGACCAGAGCTGATCCATTATTTAAGTGAACATAAATTGTAGAGTGATGAAATTTGAGAAAAACTCCACATTGGCATTAGATTAGTTATTATCACAATGGCATATGAGAATTTGGAATCGCCAGTAGATAACCTCCAAAAACTTCTGATCCAGCTGCTGAATGAAACATGCCCTCTCAAAACAGCTAGAAACAGCAGTATGGACCCAACGTTCTCACTCCATACCTCAAAACATGTAACAGTCGTTCGCTTATGTCACATATGAGGCTTAAGAAAAATAGGTCATATAACCATTGGCTCAATGCTAGGGACACTATCTCTTGTGTTTTTGTACCTCATTCTGACGGAGCCAATTCGGTTCGCTTAGACATGGAACTACAAAATCATGTTACAGCTTTAAGGCCACTGCCAAAATAGAAATAATAATCTAGAAACTATAATAAACTACCTCTAGAAAAAAGAACGCCCCCATGGCTAGGTAGGTCTCTAAATACCTACAACACGCGAACGCCGTTAAAAACAGGGTTGGAAACTTAAGCATACCACTAATTTTTATAGGAAAGTGGACGTTTGATCCATTTCAGATGGATCAACCTAAAACCCGCCTAATCTCAACATGACTGAGTGAAAATACACTCAAGAAATTAAATTAAGTACTCAAATAGTGACACGAATCTAGAATTGAGCATATAATGTAAGTAAAGCAACTCTAGAAGTTTTAGGGAAAAATAGTTTTAACTCAAGAAGTTGTTTTGTTTTGACCATTGGGCAGCTTCACCGTCGTCCTACCCAATCACGGTTCTCTCTTGCCCAGCGATGGCACTTAGGAATTCGCGATTTTCTCTGTCGGAAACAAGACAGCTCTACTCGATTGGTTATTTCGGTAAAATTGCGAATAGCAATTTTCTCTAGAACAATTTTCGGTCAACTTTCCCGCAATTATGTCACGAATCTTCTGATTTTCTTGACTTCTTATTTCAGTTGCTGCGATAAACTTGAGCATGAAATGGTCGATTCTAATTTTTCAAAATTTACCGTTTCCCCCAAAATCAAGGTCAAACTTCAGAATATGACCGACTGGCACTACCTACACTACTACGAAAAAAAAACATACCGCGAAGACAAAAGGCCAAAACCTGAATCAGTTGGAAACAGAATACGATGCAAAATCAAAGCAAATCAGACAAAAGATTTAAGAAAAGGATCCGCTAAATGGTGGAAAGAAGTGAACACGCTTGAGGTAAAAGCAGAAACATTTAATAAGTTTTCGGCAAAAAACTAACTGTTTCGTTTTTCCGCATTCTCTGATGTGGCTGAAAATATGAGCAAACGAATTTGGTATTATTCCGCGCAGCTCCGGTTGACTTCTGACGCCTTCCATTGTAAAAGTTTTTCCTGTTCCAGTTTGCCCATACGCAAATATTGTACCTAAAAATCAGTTTTAAGTTTCACATTATTCGACTTCGACGATATTAGAAATAGTGAAAAAAATACCATTGTATCCTTCCAAAACATTGTCCACAATTTTTCTTGCCGTAATATTGTAGACATCTGCCTGTTTCGATGTATCGCTGAACACATTATCAAAAGTAAATGTTTTGGGAGGCTCATCCGCATTTACACCTGTGTGTTCTACAATAATTTGTCCTCTCATTTCATCAACACGAACAATTTTCCTGTAATTTTTTTCATTATCATTCATTGGATGACAACGCACCACTACAGCAACATTCGTGTCTTCGTTATCTTTAGCAGGAGCCATTTTATCTGAAACAATTGTGATTTGAAAAAAGTCTTATTTATTTTTCTAGTTAGTTCGGCATAAAATATTTTGAATTAACTGTTTTTTAGCTTCTGTTAGAGCCTTCGATCATTTTTAAGATCTTAGATCAACTGTTATTACTGCGTTTGAATATTTTTTAGTTTTTTAGATAAGTCAAGGAAACGAAAGCTCAGCTTATTACACAGAGGCGAAGCCGAGATTCTTGCCACTTGCTATACAATACTAGGCGAAGCCGAGATTCTTGCCACTTGCTATACAATACTAGGCGAAGCCGAGATTCTTGCCACTTGCTATACAATACTAAGCAGACACTAAATCGAAAAAAAAATCAGAAATACCGAAATCTGTCAAAACGAATCAAAAACTCACACAAAAACAATAGACGACAAAAAAATCGAATCAGAAGAAAAATTATCAAGCAGTAAACAAGCCAAAAATACCAGAGAGGAACCCCTTCAAGCAAAAAAAATTCAAAAAGACATACAAACTAATGGAAAAATTTATCTCCCCATTACCTTCAGAACGGTGGGTATTCACAAGTACCAAAATGATAAATCAGTCCCATTTGTACCAAAATAAAGAATCAATCGCGTTAGTACCAAAAATATTCAATTGGCCTAAGATTATGAAGCCGACTACTTTAAGCTCTTGGTTTAAAGTCGCCGGTGGGCGCGCTACGCGCGCGTCGCCGGTTTGCGGCGATAACCGGCTCTAATTTTCGTATAGAGTCCTACCCTCTGTAGGCAAGCTCGCAACACGTTGGCGCGACTGCGGCGGTCACTATTCTGCTGTTTAGTTTTCTGTTGAACAGCAGAAAATTAGTGTAGTAATTTGTTGGCTCACAATTCGACCAATCAGAAATCGAGTTGAATAATTTTGGTACAAATGGGACCGATTTTTCATTTTGGTACAAATGACCGTTGGTACAAATGGGACGTCACCCTTCAGAACACAGAAGCACACACAAAAACTTAGCTTGTCAAACGACAAAATTTGAGGCCAACCAGCCAATATAACATGGCCCAAAACTAATCAACTCGAGAAAAAGAAACAAAAAATGAAATTAGAAAAAAGGATACTTAAAAACTAATAAAAAAGTTGTTTAAGCCCCAGATCATTAAACGACAAAATATGAGGCGAATAATGCAATATAAAATAGGCCGAAGCTTCCTAAACAGGGAAAAAAGGGACTATTTTGCTAATTGAAGGACACAACATGAGGCCAATAAGCCGAAATATTAATGAAACTTATTTCACCGACAAAAACGAAAAACATTAAAAAAAGAAACTGAAAACAAGTTGGTAAAACCACAAACAACCTTAAAAGCAAATTAAAATGGTACGGATATTCAAAATTCTAACATGCTAAAAATATATCTGTTGCAGTTTCTAACAGAGAGACGACCGCTGCAGTTCAGAGTGCAACGCGCTGAGAATGGAGATCTTCAAATTGGAGATCATACTGAGGCAATGTTGTTTACAGGAAAATGTTTACAGGAAACTAATACCAGATTGCACGGCCCTTGCATATAAAAAAATAATTAAAAAAAAATCAGGTCAACTAGCTTGTTACGCACCTCTGGATTGGAAAACCACATAGATTGGAATCCAAATCTGCAGGCTTTTAGTGTAATCTGACAGCACCCAATTAAATGGTTGGTAATTTCATTTAATAAGATTTTTTAATTCCTAAATTCCGTCAAATCTCGAAAATGTCAAATATCGAAAAGTACGAATGAAAAAAAAAGAACACTTTATTTGCACATCGAAATTAATTTCAATACACAAGTGTATGTCAAATGTTTTCTATCAATTCATAAAAATAATATAACATCATTAGATACGCATAATTACAATAAACAACAAAATCTATTAAGAGAAAGCGTTAAAATTGTAAATTCAAACAAAAGTTTTCGCACATTTTGTGCATCTTCAGGTTTTAAAAATTCTAAACTATCTGTACAAAATGATCAAAGATCATAAAAAGTGTCACACACATCATTACTTCAAAATTTTAAAAATCAACCAATCAAAACTTTACAAATATCACTGAAATTATGTAACGACTATTATGTAACATTTTACAACATTTTGTCACAAATTTCTGAGAGTTTTCTTCATTTTTATTTTCACATTTTCGTTTTGTTGCTAATTTTTATGCTAACATGTAAGTTGTTTCAAAATTTTGAGGTTTTAGCCAAAATTTTTCGATTCTGGAACTATATCCTTAGTGTCAGCTCCCTACTTCTAAACTCGTCGCGCGTGTTAATTGCCGGCCTCTCTTTCCTAATGTGCAGCGCCTCTAATGTAAGTAACTTGATGCTGCTGGACGCCTGGTCGATTATTTTCCCATTAAACTCAGACTTACCACGCTCACTACCACACTGCCTTATATGCTGTCCAACTGGGGTATCCTCTTTTCGGTGTTCCTCAATCCTTGTCGTGAGATGTCGAACCGTCTGGCCAACATAGATGGATTTGCACCCACAACTTTCAAGTCTGTACACCACTTTTCAGTTCACTGGAAAAGGAAGATTTTAGAGAGGGCATACAAGTTTTCAATTTCCTCGTCGTGAATATTATCAGCGCATTGGTGATATCGCGCACTTTTTTTGCTAATGTCTGACTGTGATTCCCCCTATATTGGATCATCAAGATGGATGGTAAATCACTGCTATAATCACAGGGCTTCTTTTTCTCAGCCATGTTTTTTTTGTTTTTGCCCTCGCTGATGATCTTTTCAAGGGCATGGGATGCAACCCGCGACGACCAACTTTCCGGATAATGGTTATCCAACCACTGCTCACAGTTGATTTTCATGGCTTTATCTTATTCTTCCCATGTTGACGTACTGCGGAAAACCCGGTGAACAGTTCCTTCAATCACACTTCTCTTGTACTGAAGGGGGGCGCAGCTTCTAAAATTGAGTATGGTACCTATATCTGTTGGTTTTTAATACCACCCACAGCTAATTTTCCTGCTTTTGTCAATACTAATTTGTAAATCCAAAATCGCCAAAGTTCCGTTTTTGTTTGGTGTCTCTATTGTGAACTGTAAATTTGGATGTATAAGTTTGCAGCCCGTAGCACTTTTTCAGAATCACCCTTCACTGTTCTCACTATATCATCAACGTAACGGAGAAACAATTTAGATTGTTGCCCTGACTTATTTTTCTCCCTTATTGCGATGCATTTTCTGCAGTACCAGACGGTTTCACTTATATTTCGATACTCATCATCTGATATATCACCGCATTTTACGTGATACCAGTTCAAACAGCATTCACATTCTACACCTTTTGACCTGTACGTGACTTTCTTATTGCACTCGGGACATATTCCGTGGAGATCTTTCTCGGGCAAAAACATTTCGGGAATATCCCTTGATAGTGCAGTTTCGTACTGCTTCAGCCAAAGATTTGCTAAAATAACGGCAAGAGATGCCTCCATTGCCAAACCATCTTTCTGAACGTACCATGTTTCATTGCACTTGAAATGGACTTGAGTAACTGCCATGTTCAACAGTCTCTTCATGGTTTTCCTAGCAATTGATGGTGGTTCATCTTGCTCATGCAGTTTTCTCAGAGCTATGTCTATCGCTTCTTTCAATGGAACATTTGTGTACAAACTCTTCACATCTAGAGATATCAAGTTTTCATTTGGCTCAAGATTAGTGCTCTCTAAGATTTCTCTCGCATCTAGTGAGTTGGTTTCGATGTTTGCGCCCTCAATTTTCTCGAAAAATTTAGCAAGAACTTTGTTCAAGTTATAATAAGAGCTAACAGGCAAGGAGAGGACCGGTCTTAATGGGGTATTCACTTTATGCACTTTCGCCAACCCATAAAGCCTGGCGGGCTGCCCCCCAGTAGACCTCATCCTTGTGTAGAGACTCTCACTTATTTCATCTTTTTTCCTCATAGCCAACAACTCCTTTTTGATGTCTCTTTCTATCTTCAAAACAATCGCATCACTTGTTCCTTTACTTTTGCTGAATTGATTTGAATCTAATGTATCCGACAACTTGTTCTCGTAGGTGTCCTTTCTCATTACTCAAAACCCACGCCTTTGTCATACGGTACCGCAACTAATCCATTACTCCTCAGATACTTTCGGGCCTTCTCAACGCCTTTGTCAGATGGTGTTTGTTTCACCCTCTTAGCATAGGCTTTTGCCACAGCTTCGATCTCACAAAGGGCCTCCCCGGGGACTTTACGATTTTTGAGATCCGATAGAAAGATGTCAATGTCGGCGAGAAAGTGTGACGGGATGCTTTGGCCCTAATGCCAACACTTGTTGTACCCAATTTGATAATTCAACATCATCATGAGCTCTTACCGAACCCTCACCATGCTTCCCTAGAGGTCGGTCTTGCCTTTCTGATAGTTTCATTAGCTTCTTCTGATGGGTCTCTTTGACTGTTGCTGTTTGTCTTTGTCCCCTAAGATTTAAATGTTTAATTACCGAAGGCCAAAAGTTCTCATCTAC